AATTTATTAAACTTATATTTAATAAATATAAATTTTTGTAGTATTATCAATGTTAATTATATATAATATTTACTAAATTAATCAATTAATTAATATTATATAATAAAGAAATTAACTTATTTTTTTATTTTTATAAATACTATATTATAATAAATAAATAAATAATATATACAAGACAAAATCTACTTATTTATGTATTTATTAAATAATTTTTATTAATAATGTTATTATATTATAATTTTTTTAATATCTTACCTTAATAATGTTTGAATGTATATAGATTATTGTGAAAAGTAATAATAATAATAATGATAGTGATGTCAATGACTAGGTGACAGTGACAACAAGGTGATAATGGTGGTAGTTATGGATGAAAACAACAGTCGAAAAATTAACAAGGGTGGAAGTGGTGGTAAAGGTGTGATGAGGATGAAAGGTGATGATAGTGATAATAGCAACATTGACAATAATAGTAACAATGACATAATGGGGGTAGTTGAAAGGAAGGAAGGTGAAAGAGTGATTATCCTATTAAGTTACTTTCTAACCTAACTTACTTTTGAAATAAGAAATACCCTTCATCAATCAAGATATAATAGACAATATGATAAACAAATTGTATCTTATTAGTGCATCAAACAATTGATTATAACAAGACATGGTAATTATTCTATTCAATAATAATTTAATCATGTCATATTTTGGTCATGAAACATACTCTTAATGGGAAGTTCTTTATATAGTAGCCTAGATAAAGATGACAACATCTTAAGGATTCCTCACAAGCTTACTTTGCTTGTCTTCATTTTGAGTCCCTTAAGATAAAAAGTGTTTGTTGAAGCATTAAATGCTTGCATTAATTTCATTTTACCAAATTATCACTTTTTATTTAATTAAGGAGACTATTTATCAACTTTAAGAAACCAAATAAACTTTTTTTGGCGCGTGTCAGCAAATAGTAGGTTCTGCATCAACTTTTGTTAACTTTTTTCATGATTTCAGTGATCTGCTTGTCCTTATTTCTTGTGCACAACATGACTTCATTCACTTTAACAAATTTGTAAGTTCTAATGAGCTTTCTTTGTTCGATTTGTTAAGGATTTTGTTAGTCATGCACTAAATAGTCATTACTTATAATAAATAATATGCATTTAAGACTTTATAGAGTAAGAATGTATACTTTGTCTAATGACACATCGTCTGTCTAAAGATTTGTGTCTTATGCATCATCTGATTTATATTTTGCAAAATTGTTTTTCCTTTAGAAAAACGTGTTATTTGTTATCAGTAAAACTTTAAAACTTGAGAGATTTAAAATCATCTTTTTAACTAGGTTAACAATTCAAAATGTTAATGAATTAACTAGGTCAACAATAAAACTTAAAATTAAAAATGTGTTATTTGTTATCATTAAAACTTAAAAACTTGAGAGATCTATAATTTAATAAAAATATTAATAAATTAACTAGGTCAATAATTCAAAAAATAAAAATTAAAAATTAAACCATACAAAGAGAGTCTACTCAATTCAAAATTAGCCAAGAGTATGAAAACAAATTTTCTACGTATATAAACTAAAACAAATATCGTAAATAAAGATATTTTTAAAAATTATTATACAAAAAGAGTTTTTTTTAACTAGAGTGTTCTTAGAAAACTTTTTAACTTCTTATTTCCTTTAATATGTCATTTTATATTATTTTAAAATTAAATGTAAAAAGTTCTTTTTAACTTCTTTTTAAAGTTCTTAATATATAGATCAAATCTATAAATTTTTAAAAAATTTAAAAATCATTTTATACTTCGTTTCATTAATTCAAATCAATTTTATGATTATCCATCAATTTAAAATAATGAAATAAAGTATCAAATGATTTTCAAATTTTCTAAAAATTTGTAGATTTGAACTATGCATTAAGAACTTTAAATTCAACAGCTGGATCGTTGAAATTTGATGTAGAACATGAGTTATTGAATGAAATAAGTTTAGGTAAACTTACTCCTAAAATAAATGGATCCCTCATCTTTAAAATAATATAAATAGTTATATGATATAAAATTATTTATCATAAATTTGAAACATCATTTATATAACTAAAACAATTATTTATTATAAAATTTAATTATAGTATAATTTATACATTTAAAATAATATATTTATTATAAATTTTAATTATATAAAATACAAATTTATCTTGTGCATTACACTACACACAATTCACATGGGCTAAAATATTGGTAAAAATCAACTATAAAATCCCAATTTAAATTGTTTTTATTAAAAAATATTTTACCTGATAATTGAACAAGTTAAAAAATGATATAAATAAGTCACTCTAATGTACATAGAGTTGAAGAATACCAATTACGTGAATTAACTTGATACAAAATTATTTTAATTTAATTAATAATTTCAATTTTATATCCTAAATATACTAATATATTAAAATACTTAAAAAGAAGAATGTTTCTTTTTATAATGATTTTTTAAAGTTGAAATAAAATTGTCTTATTTAAAAAAATAGACGTGTTTTGTGATAAAAAATAAAAAAACGAGTTGAAGAGGCAAAACAAAAGACGAGGATGGTTCCCCAATAAGAAGCCCTACACG